GAATTTTCTTTAAAAGATGACGCCAATGTAATTTTATTGTTTCGTATCCATACCTGCTGCCACTGATCCAAATTAATATTATGTCCTAGATCTATCGCCCATGTCACCATTGTTTCCTTAACCTGTTCTTCAAATAGCCTGTGCTCCAATAGGTGTTTGTAAATATTCCTTATTTGTTTTTTCCCCGGACCAAGCAAAATTTTATCTAGCCCCGTATCTTGACTATATATACCCCATTCACGTTTATCTTTCAGATATCTTGCCTGGATTTGGAGATAATACCACCACTCTAAATTTATTCCTTGTTGTTTTAACTCTTGTTTAGATTTTAAAAGACCCTCTTCTGTCAAAATATCTTTATATCTGATAACCTTATCTTTCCTAAGCACATTGGGGTATATGGCTGCCTCCAATGGCGATAACCAGGTCGGAATCTTAATATAATATTGGGATTTGACAATGTTCCAACTTTTTACTAGACCTTGCCGGACCTTATGTTTTAAAAAATATTGATAATTCCTATTTTGTCCCCTCCACATCTGAGCATGCCATCCCTGTTGCCAAAAAGACGCTTCTACAGTTGGAGATCACCAGCAGATACACGAAATAATGTAGTAAGGAACCAAATTGACTATTTTATAATAAACAAAAGATTTAGAAACTCAGTAAAATCAGTAAAGACATACCCAGATGTAGATGTACCATCCGATCATAATCTACTACTTGCTGAAGTTCAGCTGAAACTAAAAAGGATGAAAAACCCGAACCCTGCTAAACCAAGAATTGACAGAGACTTCATCATTAAACATGGAGGTAAGATTAAAGAAGAACTAGAAAATCATTTAAGGGAAACCAATAACCTGAATGATGATGTTGTAGAAGCGAACTGGAATAAATTTAAAAATGCAATAGTAGAGGTAACAAATTCAAATCAGAGAGGGGTACCACAAGAAACAACAGTGGATGACAGAGGAAATTCTTCATCTCATGGATGAAAGAAGATCTTATAAAAATAAAAACAAAGAAAAATACAATGAATTGCAGAAAACAATTAGAAGAAAAATTCGACTGGCAAAAGAAAAGTGGTTTGCAAAGAGATGCAAGGAAATAGAAGAGACAGAACGTATGCATGATAATTTCAATTTACACAAAAAAGTGAAAGAAGCAGCAGGCTTCTACAAAAAGAAAACCAACAATTTAGTTGACAAAGAGGGGAAAATTATCTTAGATGAGGATGAAAAACTAAAAAGATGGAAGGAATATATTGAAGAACTTTTTGAGAACACTAGGGATGATATAGATATGGGAAGTATAACAACTGAACCAAATATCACTATGGAGGTTGAACATGCAATAAAAATAGCAAAAATAAGAAAAGCCACAGGACCTGATGATATCCCAGTAGAAATTTTAAAATTGCTGGAAGACAATAGGAAGAATTTTTTACTGCAGTTCAATCGGATATATGAAACAAGAAAGATACCAAATGATTGGCTAAAATCAACCTTTGTGACAATCCCCCCAAAAATAAATGCAAAGAAGTGTACTGAATACAGAACAATAAGCTTAATGAGTCATGCCCTGAAAATATTCCTGAGAATAATTCACACAAGAATATACAACAAAATTGAAGAGCGTCTAGGTAACACACAATTTGGTTTCAGAAACAATCTTGGTACACGAGATGCACTATTCAGCATTCAAGTTCTTGCACAGCGTTGTAGAGATGTCAAATCACAGTCTTTACATGTGCTTCATTGATTTTGAAAAAGCTTTTGATAAAATAAGACACAGCAAACAATTAGAAATCCTGAAACAAGGGGGACTAGATGACAAAGACATCCAAATCATAAAGAATCTGTATTGGCATCAGGTAGCAAATGTGAGACTAGGCCAAAAATACTCAGCTGATGCAGAAATAAGAAGAGGGGTCAGACAGGGATGTATTCTGTCTCCACTGTTGTTCAACATCTACTCTGAGTCAATCTTCAATGAGGCACTGGAGAACATCGATGCTGGCACCAAAGTAAACGGTGTTTGGATCAACAACTTAAGATATGCTGACGATACAGTTCTGCTTGCCAGTAAGCATGAAGTTTGAAGTTTGAAGTTTTATTGCATTTATATCCCGCCCTTCTCCCAATGGACTCAGAGCGGCTTACAGCCAATTAAAAACAGAATAATCAATACAAATCTACAAAATTTAAAATCAATTAAAAGATATATACAATAGGCCTATTCATATTTTAAAATTAATTAAAAACCAGTTTAAAATATCCCTAGGCCAGTCCTGCCTGCTGAAACAACCATGTCTTGAGGGCGCGGCGGAAGGAGGGGAGATCCGGAATCAACCGGATCTCTGGGGGCAGCTCGTTCCAGAGGGTGGGGGCTCCAACAGAGAAGGCTCTCCCCCTGGGGGTCGCCAACCTACATTGTCTGATTGACGGCACCCTGAGGAGACCCTCTCTGTGGGAGCGTATCGGCCGGTGAGAGGTAATCTGTGGCAGAAGGCGGTCTCGGAGGTAGCCAGGTCCGATGCCATGGTGCGCTTTAAAGATGATGGTCAACACCTTGAAGCGCACCCGGAAGGCCACAGGCAGCCAATGCAGCTCGCGCAGCAGCGGTGTT